TTCATAACTTTGCTCTCGAGGCGGAACTGTCGTTTTGTCATCTTGGGCACCGGGCAACTAGCTAAAATTGTTAATAAATTTTGATACGACGTTGCCTTGTGATGGTTATCTCACTTACCTGAACAAGGCAATGTTCCTGCTGAGTGCTCCGCCAAAACTGCGTGTCTATATACGAGGAAATAGTTGTTTTTGTAAGAATTGATGCACCGAGTCAGTGTGTTTTGAGCTCAGAAATTCTTCCTACGCTGCGTTCTTCCAACCACCTGGTTAGCTCTCATGACTGAGCCGTTTCTTTTGTCCTTGGTCAGGGGTTTGAAACTCGAACTAGGACATAGCCCTCGTCGACGTGACAACTTTGATTTTGTGAATTTTATATGCATTTCCTTCGTAGCTCCGTGCTGTTAACACATATACGACAACTTTTTTCTAAAATTAGGAAACGATTACGTGTAATTTTAAATGTGCGTTTAGTTACAATGTGTCTAACTGCTCATTCATTCTCGGAATAATGTCTATGCCTTTGGAGAAAGACAAACACAATAGTCGATTCAGCGTTTTAAAATGATGTTATATTTCAACTCGAAAAAAAAAATGAAATAAGCACATATTCAATAATTTCACATCTTTCTTTGTATTCTTTGTTGCTTCACAAGCTTTCAACGACTCTGTTACTGAGTAACATGCCATCAACAATACGCTACTTAAGGCGGGTATACACATTATAATTTCTCTTTCACACACACGTACACGCGCGTTTTTTTTTTTCAGTTAAATACATATCGTGTGATTACACTCCTTCAAACCATTTTTTATTTATCATGAGACCATATGACAACCTCGAAGGTTCATAGAGAATAATAAAAAGAAAGCAAACACAGCATCTTGGTCTCCAACATGGCACACAAAATCTCAATCGCACAAGGAACAGGGCGAAGCATAGCTTGCTTCGCCATTGTACGCAACATGAAGGGACACGGTGTGAACAGAACAGGAAAACGATCGGCAGTGACAGATAGTAATGAGTAGTACCAATGATAGCTGCCAACACTGACGAGTGTGCTATAGAACAACTATTCGCAAATTGTGGTTGCGAAGGATGCGGAAACGCAGAGCGGTATGACTTCAATTGAAATCGGTTCTAATATGTAATTAGTCATCGCTGTTTGTTCAGTGTAATATAGATGGTAAGATTTACTAATCATGCGTTAAAAATGATCTTAGAATTATATTATTAGAGCTCTAAGTTGGGAACACCATTCCCAAGCAGTTAAATTCATAAACACTGTCAAAATAACAAACACATACAATTTAAAAATTAATTTTCTTGACCCACTTTACCTTGACGAGGACATGCATCTGTAGTGAACGTATGGCAATAGATGTTTAAGTATTTTGCACAAAACGTTAAATTAGGCAAAGGTCAGTGCGATTGTTGGACAACATAGCGCAAACCGCAAATAAAAAGCTTAGGTTTTAGTAGACGACACACTAAACTTGAACTAGCTAAGAGCAAATGCTGTGTCAAATACTAAGAAAGGGAAAGAACACAACCACACGTTTGTAGCACGAAGCCGCAAGCAATTCCGTACGGATTTATCAGAAAGCTGGAACATTTTTGTCCTTGTGGTTTCGTGCTACAAAACCTTCCGCCATCTTGCGGGTTTTCACAGAACTCATTTGGAATACAGTGTCAAACACTACGCAGAAAATCAGCAGAGATATATGACGAAGAATTCAGACAAAACACAGATAAATACAATACCAAGCAATAAAGTAGCTAAAGTAGCTGACGTTTCGTGAATATGCTGAGCGATCGAAAGTGAAAGTAGGGAAATAAAGAAGCTATGAAAGAAAAAGAGTGTTTGTAAGCTCGGGCTTGTCTCGGAGCAGTTAAGACTTTGAAATGAAATGCCCCAACCAAAGGCAGTATTTTGGACGTTCCCCGATTCCACCTTACGGCCAAATTTTGTAAACGCAAATCGGAAAGGCTGTGGCAATCTTTTGAACCAATAAATCAGATTTGTCAAATGGCGAAATTTGACACTGTACAGAACAACACTAACAGTCAACTGTGTCGAGCAGAAACAACCGAGAGAGTTCATTGCGCCGGCGCACAGAATCAAAGGTCAACGGCCCGGCTGTTCAACTCTTGTCCCGATAGGTGGCGCAACGTTGCCGAAACAGATCGAAGAGCGAAAGCTGTCGTGCGGAAATCCGAAACGTCGTTTCAGTGTCAGCCGAGCTCCATAGGTGGCGTCACAAAACTCGCTCTTTTTAAGCGGGAGTTTGCGCTACAAATGCTGATCTGAGTTTAATAAAAAAAAAAGTAAAGGCCACACCTGGCATGGCAAATACGCTCGGTGCTCAGCACGTCAGTCCTTGGCGTTTTGTGCTGGCGCTCTGTAAACGTTGCATTCAGATTGAAAAAGTAATACGAGTTCTTGTTTAATTTATTCATTCGACAAATTTGGTTTTCGCACTGCTCGCTTACCATATAAGAGTTTTCAAATGTTCGCAAGGCCTCAAATAAAATGGTGCACCTGCTAGTCACTCAGTAGCAAAATTTTGTCTGGCCTTTTGTGTTTATTTGTAATACACGAAGCGTTCTACGGTAAGGGAGCCCACCAAATGAAGCTAGTGGGAAATGAACCTCCGTTAAGAGCGCGGGGGGGGGGGGGGGCTCTTACATTTTCTCTGCGGTATGTACAGTTGGCGTCCGAATTTTGGTGACCACTATAGGTCTCACAAAAGTCTCAGTATTAACGGGCATATCTAGTCGAGCTCCACAGTACCTGCTATATGAATTAGTCAAGCATAATTTATGGCAGCCCGCAGAATTAGCTGGAATATTCGATTTTTCTTCTCGCGTTTTTTTTTTTTTTGGTGCCTTGTGGTCCTTGATCTTTTGACACTAACACTTTAGCATACGAAAAGTGAAACAGAGAGACGGCGTACTTGGAACGACCATTGTCACGCTGTTACCGTCGCCAAAAATCGCATGCACTCACGAACATGCTAGCGCTTCGAATCATGTGCTTTAGAATTCTGATGCTTTGAACAAAGTCTATCGCTTTAAATGCCATGGGGCTAGGCGAGCTCTAACATTAATGGGAACGAAAATATCTAAAAACCATCGCTAAACACACGCATGACTCCGACATTAAAAGGCAGGAAACAAAAGAGGAGGCGTAAGTGGTTATTCACATGGTCGAACACTACCACGTGAGCCGCTAAAACAACATTGGTCACGACGTAAGCCCAGAGTTGAACGCCAGTAGAAAGTACAATCACTCAGTAATACCACATCCTGTCGCATTACGTGCGGTATCGTACAAATGCGTTCTCATCCGCACAAGAGCGAGAAAGTAATACACCGGGGAAGGAGGAGGATTGATGGCTATGTCACACAATGAAAACTTCTTCGAGATCCACAAGAGCAAGTTCGCCGTAGTATACCACCAGAACTTAAGTTACAACAGCCGGTTTATTTTGTCCACCAACAGACTCCAAGTGAGTAGTGGGCTTGGTGTCCTTCTGTTTACAAGCGGAAGCACGTCGGGCGTAATGATCAACCGGGTATTGCAGTACACGCATCCACGCAAAATTAAAACCAAATGGAAGGAAAGGGCAAACACACACTCGTTCGTACGATCCCTAAACCCGGCACATTTCGCCTCATGTGAAAAGAAAACAGCGAAGAAGTTACGGCATCATTTTTTTTCTTGCAACCAGACACACTAACACACTTTCGCGCCACACACATGCACCCGCAAAAACTTTATAAACAGTTCGACAACGCTTTCTATTTTAATACATCAGTTAACACTAAACATAAATAACGCGAAACCCAAGCACTTTTCGGAGGTAAAGGACGAAAAACACCACGGAGGCAAGGTGAGATAGCTATGCGATGTAAGTATATAAATGAGATAGTCGAATACAACAAAGGTTATGTGTCAGAGTGCGTGTAGGTGTTCATTTATCGACACGGTGAATGGATTACACGAAGAGAGGAGGACATTCTGATTTCTGCAATTGTTGATGCAATGGCTGCAAAACGTACCGCAGAACAGGCACAATTTGTTGCAATTTTCGTACACTGCATCGGCCTGTGTGAGTTACAGGCATCAAAACTAAGCGAAAGAACGCAACTTTCCCGCCCGAATGACTTCGTTCTTTGTTAGACGCAAGAAAATGAATCTAAACAATAATTAGACCAATGAGAGCATAGGGTACATTAACTGTCTTTCAGTGTAGCGTTGTAACTATGAAGTGAATTCAAATGAACTGAAGTGGACAAAAAATCACCAATTCCGCCGGTGGGATGCGAACTCACCACCTTCGATTCCTTCCTGACAACTTATGAGTTAAGAGTATGTGCAACCGAACTTTCTGTCTGTTTCTTTCAAATTGAGGGACTGTATCCCAAATCATATTGACTCCTGTGATACAGTTAAAAAAGAAGCAGTCACCTGCAGGAAAAGTTTACAAGATAAACATGATACAATGAAAAAAAAAACCTGTAACAGAGAAAGTGAAGGGTGACAGCAGGTCAACACCAGAGAAAATAAAAGTTTATGACTGGACACAAGGTGGGAAAAACACACTGGGTGGCACGGCAGCATTGTATGTACACGCAGGGATCTTCGCCGCCGCACCGCGGCGCTGCTGGCTTCGTGATTATCATCATCATCACCAGATGAAGGATGACACGGCGAGCGCGAGCGTTGACGCAGCAGCGTTCGTTCGTCGACGCACGTTCGCGAAAACACGCGCAGTCAGCGGTAAGCTATAACATGTGCGCCGGGGTATACACCTAGCGCTGTCACCGCGCACATTTTCGTGTGTCTTGTCAATGGTGGCACCATCTCGCTGGTTGGACGAGGGAGGTTCATGGGACTCGACACCGGGGCTCGTCGTCGGGTTCAGGGCGAGGAATGCAGGTCACGGAGAGATGCGAGGAGGAAAAGAAGATGACGTGCGCGAGGGGGTGATGACGTCCTCCTTGGTCTAGCCGACGGATGTCGTGGACTCGGCTGCGGAATGAGAAAAAACAGCAGCAGAGTGATGTGTGAGCGCCACATCTTTGTCTTGCGAACAAAGGCATCGAGAGTTGTAATCTAGTGCATGCGTGCTACTAGTCTAACCTGGATAGATGAAATCTGAAAGGGATCGCAAGAAATTTCTATACGTGGGTAATTTTATATGTCAAATATTTTATTTTTTATATCGAAATTGTTTCGAGGGGATGTTACAACTGCTTGATAAAAGAAAAAAAAAGTTGCGATGAGTGGATACATGTGGGTGCGGCTATATATCTAGTTTCTTCACTGTTTGTGCCACACACACGAATACACACACACACACCACACACACACACACACACACACACACACACACACACACACACACACACACACACACACACACACACACACACACACGAGGCATAGCGATAAATAAAAAGCACGTATGAAAAGCATGTATGAATGACACAGGTGACATGGTACGGGATTTAGAAAAAAGAAAGAAAAGGGAAAGAGAAAGAAAGAAAAAGGGAGAAAGAAATGGAGAAAAAAAGAAAGAAAGAAAGAAAAAGGGAATAAATAAATAAATGAAGGAAAGAAAGAAAGAAAGAAAAAATATCAATGAAGTACCTCTGTCCAGAGTTGCGTATCGAAATATTCGGTCAGTTAGGTTTATCGTCTTTAGAACGTGGAGCGTACGGAACACGGTATAGCATGCTGCAGAAACCATCAAGCTAGGTGTAGGTGCGTTTGTGCACCTAACATACGGCCACACCAGAACAGCTCGAGTGTCTGGATGCGGACGGCCGTCGCGATTCAACCAACGCGTTGCAATGACGACAATGCTTCGTATCAAATTCTTCCGTTCATAAGTAGTACCAGTCGCAAATCGAGAATTCTCGAGCGTCTCCAGATTTCCCAGTTATAAACTCTGCAGCTTCCCAAAAACAGAACCTGCTGCTGGGCTAGGTAGTTCATACTTGCCAAAAGAAGATTGTGCAAAAACTGCACAAAGACGCCGAACACACGGATGAGAGACCGTCAGTGCCTTCTATGTCGTTGCGTGGTTTGTGCAATACCATATTTTCTCAAAACAAGTCAAGGAAACTGTGGTAAAGTTTGTATATGTAACAAGTCAATATTTTGGTAGCTGAAAGGTAATTTGTTTCTCCCTAAAAATTACCATATGAGCGACTGTGTATTCAAGAAAACGCGCAGCGAGCAGTGATCAAGATGAAGAAAAAAGACGTCAAAATATCACGAATACGCGCAAAAATACCGTACTCCCCATCATTTGCAGAATAAAGGCACTCCATAAGCAGGCGGTCCGTAATGAGTTTATAAATACAACGACGTGCGCTTTCGCTTACAAGGGAACGCGTGTAAAACTTGAAAAATGCTTTCCCACTAGCCACTGACCACACGAGGCACTCTTTTACGATGTCGAAGCTATAGAGAACGGGAGGAGTGGGGGAAAAAAAACGAGCGCAAAACACCGGTGGTTCGCCGCAAAACAGGCCGCGCTTTTTAAATCCATTTTCGAGGCGGCAACGCCGAGCAGCAGGTTTCCCAGAAAGCGGGATACTCCTGGTGAACCCGACCGATACATTTCTCGTAATTAGCCGTCAGCAACAAGGCGTCGCTCTTAATTCAAACGGCCAGTGCCATTAAACTAACAGGAAGGAGCAGCGCGCACAGGAAGGAGCGCCAGTCGAGTTGAAGTGCGGCTCGCGCCAAACGCGCGCGTTATATGGCGCGAAAAGCGCGGGGGATCGCTTTCCAATCTCTGTGTCGTTACGAACATGCCCCGCGCGCGTTTTCCGGCGCCGATTTCCGCGAGTTTTGGCGCGAAAAAGTTGTTTCCCCGCGGCACTCGCCAACACGTTTCGCGCGCTTGTCGTCCCATTAGAAAAGGATGCCGCGGGGTTTTCGTGCGAACGGGGAGAGGGGTGAACAGCGCGGTGATTCACGCTCGATGCGAGAAAATCCGCGAACCGTCGAGATCTGCAGGTATACCGCGAGCTGCCTGCATTGAGACCGTTTGCAGAGACGTGCGTCGTAAATACGAAATTCATAGCGGCTACGCGTGAACGGGTGCCCAGTCGGAAAGGCAGGCAAAGTGGGCGCCAATTTTGACATTTCTCGAAACAGCGTGTGGACTGGAAATGCGCTCTATCAATTTTGATACAACGTAGCTCTCGAGTTGGCTAATTTTGAGAAATTATTCGCGGTATTGTGAGCGGGCGGGGATTACTGAAGTTATATAGCCGTTCTGGTTTCTGAACTTTTCGAAATATATGGTCCGAGTGTCGAGTCCAAGGTGCGCATTATAATCAGAACCATCACTCGGGCCTATTCTGGGACTGACTGATATTACTGGCTCCATATGACAAATCAGGTCTGCCCTCGATTTGCACTATCTCGGAGCTCCGAAAGTTGTCGGACAGGAGGAATCATGCATAACTCCGAGCATATACGGGGGATTGCCAGAAACGCACTGGAATGCAATGACTGGGCACCAACTGTTCCTACGACACGCAAATTTGGTGACACCTTTCACTGATACAAAACAATGCATGCACAGCGCATGTCATCTTCCAATAAAGTTCTCGCTCTCTTTCACCCGTATTTCCGCTTTATTTTTCCACCCGAGTGTAGCGTATAACAAACCAGAAAACTATGCACTTGCTACAAAATATTATCCCCGACTTTCCCTTCACTACATTTCTATTCACAAGACGAGGCTATATCGAGCCCGGTGGTTATGAAAGACCTCCATGATTTTTGAAAACGCTACCTCGTGACCATATTCTTCAACAGACAATTAGCAGTTACTTACAATGCCCTGCGTTATCATTACACTGTAAGATAGATTTAGGTGTACGTTAAACAATGTCTGACGGTCAAAATTTCCGAAGTTCTCCACGAAGGCGTCTCTCATTATGATATTGTGGTTTTGGAACTTCGAACCCCATTGATTATTTTTACACTGTAGCTTTAGCAAGATACCACTCAATAAACCGCAACTCATTGTTTTTTTCTCTTTCGTGTAACTACAGCACCAAGACAACAAACGCATATCTAGAAAGCTAAATGCTTGCCGGACAGCAAGTATATAGTCTGACAACGCCATCTGTTGTTTTTTAACACGGTTCGAGTAGAAAGCCCCCCTTTGTACCGCGTGTTTTCTCGAGTCTCAATTAGTGACGATTAATTCGATTTAGCGGGGAGAGCTAAAACAATAAAAGCAGAGAGGTTAACGACCACTTCACGCATCACCGTGCTCGCGTAGTCCTTCCTTCGAACGCTCCCGAAACGTCAAGAGAAAGCGAACGCGTAAAGAAAAAATAAATCGAAGAAAAAAAAACGCTACGCTGTTGCGGCATGCGTACTGAATAGACGACGCCAGCCGGGCTGCAGTTCTTCATCTTGCTCAAGGGCACACGCCCCGCACAATTCTATTTTCCTCTTCCTTTCTTCTTCGTTTCCAGTTCAAGCGCCTACAACTTTCCAGGGTGCTTCTCTCCCACCCTCCCTTTTTCACTTTACCACTCAAACCTCCTCCTTAAAAACACAATTAGCGATTGTGTTACGGAAGGGAAACAAAACAATTAGCTCGAAACCGGCGGCCTATATGCGCTTACGTCCGATTTATCCACCTCGGTTTCTTTTTTTTTTCTTCCTTCCTTTTGTTTCTCTTCACGCAGCGCACCCCGTCGCCGCCACCAGCGCGCATTTCCGCAACTGCTTAACGCGCAGTTATCCGCGCTATACTGCTGTTTCAACGGCGTCATCGTTAGGAAAGACTTAATGCCCGGCACATACAGCAGCGGCGACTGCGCCCAAGGGGTGGCGAGTGTAGCGTGCCGAGAAGCTCTTTTTGCTCCCCAAAACGGTGGGTGGAGTCTTTTGTTTTAGCGAAAACGCTGCCTGCGAGCGTCGTCTGCTTGGGCAATTTACTCCAGAACGCTCGGAGGAGCAGGCGATCTTGTTTTCTCCCGCATCCTCGTAAGGCTCTTTATTTGCTGTAAATTTTTTTTTCGTTGTTTTCTGTCAGCGCGGAGCACTGCACATGTCGTGTACAAGAGCGACAGCTAAGCGCATCTGGAAGAAAAATGTGTTGGCATCGAGCGAGGGCCTCGTAGAAAACAAAAGTAAAATCGGTGTACAAATCTGAATAGCACTACGCGCGTAAGTACAATAACGGGGGCACGTCGCCAAGCGTCCATCTCTTCCACGCTCGCTTAAGTGCGCCCAATCTGGTTATCCCAGAGAGTTGCGGGTGACTTTGTTAACCGCTTTCCCCGGGAGCGATCACACTGATAGCTGAAAGGGTGAACGCCGTCAAACCACTCGGGTCGAAGCGCTTTATTAAAGCGTGACGCCAAGAGCGATCCGTGAGAGACAAGTGTTGAATCGGAAGCGTGAAATCACAAACACTCAAAATCTGCGGTGAAACTGCGAAACTCTATTAGACCGATTATGTGCAATGACAGTTACTTCAGAGGCTCAAGTGATTCGCTATGCAGAATCTAGATAACAGCGGCAAACTGTCGAAATGCGAAGACTATCTTTCGTGAATCTTCTTTAGACCTTAGGGCATCCAGTAGTACGAAGTGTCTGTCGCGATTAGTAATCGGCTGCTGACTTGAAGGCCACGAGCATTTTCGACGGAGGCAGTAGGCCCGCGTGCTCAGATTTGGGTGCACGTTAAAGAAAGCCAGATGATCGAAATTTCCAGAGCTCTCCCCTATACGGCGTATCTCATAACCGTATGATGACTTTGGGACGTTAAACACCACATATCAATCAATACGAAAGCCACGGGTTCGATCTCAGCCGTGGCTGTCGCACTCAAATGAAAGCGAAACGGTAGAGAACCGTGTCTACTGTGAGATAGCGCCCGTTAAAGAACGACAGGTTGTCGAAATTTCCAAAGCCGTGTATTACGGCATGCCTTATAACCATATCGTGGTTTTGGCGCGTAAAACATTACAAGTTAATTAAGA